AACGACAAAATGAAGAGTTAATCAGTTGACAAATGCCTCAGTTTAGCTGGCACAGAAAGAAAGAATGGATTTTTCTATAAATCCAAACTATATCCTTAAACAACAAGTATTACAAATAAATAAAAAAGTGTAGAAAAATGAAAATAACTTTGAGATTTTATTTTCATTACTTTTTCTAGCTTTCAAATAGACTCTATATTTCTTTCCAGTGCATCACCCATTAAATTCAGGACTCACCTCTGTCGCAAAACGGGATCCACGCCCACAGTGGGCTCGTCCAGGATGAGGAGCTCCGGTTCGTGGAGCAGGGCCACTGCCAGACTCACTCGTCGCTGCTGGCCGCCACTAAGATTCTTGACAAATTTCGAGGCATTTGGCAAATTGAGCAATTTGAGCAGGAATTCGGTGCGATCCTCGATGTCGCTGCGGGGCATGGCCGAAATGATGCCAAAGTAGATTAAAGTCTCACGCATCGTGAACTCGCCGTAAAGGGCTATCTCCTGCAATAAAAGCCCAATTTGGAATACGGAAATTATATTAGCACCGGGCACAATACACTTTTTCATGCAATTTCCTTTCAAAATTGCTGCCTACTTTTCGGAGGATGCTTCTTTATGACAACTGTGCCGTGCACTGTGTGACAGAAACTATTTTTACTAGGAAATATCAAAGAGATTTATTTTAAGATTTAATTTTTGTATATTTAAAACTACAAAACTTGTGCAAATAATCAAGGTTTATCTAAAGTAAACAAATAAAGTAATTATCTAGTAATTTTGTAATCAAATATACGAATTAAGAGCAAATTAAATTTAATGTTTAATTATATTTAATAATATAATAAATCATTTTAAATCGCTCATTGAGGATGTGCCATGACAATCCTATTTAAGTAAAGTTGAGATATTCTTTTGGATTGCAAAAATTAAAAGTTTTCCTAGCTCACTCCTCACTCCTTCTGAATCCTCATCCCCGACTGAGAGGCATTTAAAAACTTTACCGTGTATATGTTTTCTTTTGTGCTTTTGCCATTTTATGGCGCTTATTTAATTTAGTCGAGTCGAGCATGTGGTAATAAAAAGCGCAATGAAAAATTCAACAGCCAGAAGTTGAAACGTCTGCCGTTTGCTGAGGTCAACTCACCTGTGGCATATAGCCAATCCGAGGCCCAGGCACACCGGAACCACGCGATCCTGGCCGTCCGCCGAGCACCCATATCTCGCCCGAATTGAGGCGACGTCGTCCGACGATGCAACTGAGCAGCGTTGTTTTTCCGCATCCCGAGGCGCCCAGGAGACCGTATCTGCAAAATGCAAACGGTGAGTTGAGCTTAAAGTCGTTTCCATAATAAGAAATGAGAGTATGAGGATATGGGGGATACGAGGTGAACATGCAGATAATTTTAATGAGGGTCAATTCAGTCGAAAGAATTTTCTAGAAAATATATTTAATATTGGTGATATATTTCATAGGCTATAGTTTCTATAATCCCAATTAACTCTTTAAAATGGCGGAACCCACGTAGTTTAGTTATCCGCAAATTTCAGCTGCATTTAAGTTGGTCCTGAAGCAAGGCCTGAACACTGCTGGCCAAGAGTCGGATATTTTCGGGCAAGGACTCCCTGCCGCACAAATATTTTAAGCACTCACACCGACTCGACGGCAGGTGCACTCTCACACATACACTGACACACACACCAGTACGGGAATGAAAAGCATCAGGTGAAAAATCAACTGTGAATAGTTTTGCAAAAATATTCAGGCGCAAAAAGTTTCATTGCTCGGTGTGGTGCTCTGTTTTTTGAGCGCTCTCTTAGCGCATACCCCGTGCCGCTTTCACCTCCTGTATTTTTTTTCCCCGAGTTATCTGCCACTTTTCCACCACTCTTGCAACGCCTTTTCTCCCCCAGCTTTTCCAGCACCCGCACTATCTTCATGTTCAGGTTCAGGTCGGTGTGGTATATGCGCCGCTTATCTCGTGTGCGGAGGAGCTGTTGCGAAATATATTTAGGGAATGTTTAGCACAGCTTAGCGCGCCAGTCAGCCTCCGCCCAACGCCCACAAGCCGCCCATTTTTTCCACCAAACACCCACTATACCAGTGTCCCCATGCTGGCAGATGCACTTAAACAAATTATTAATATTTTATCATAAAGTAAGTAATGTAAATTCAAGAATCAGATTAAATACTACAAACTGAAGGCTGCAACTATTTTCTAAATACTTTAAAAGTCTCAAAACATATTAATTAAAAGGTACCTTAAGCCTTTCTGATTGATAAAAATAATATTAATACATATTTTTAATAATTAGTATTAAATTTTATATATTTTCTCAAACATTTTTCGCTTCTGTGTGATCCACAACCTGCCCCAAGTTGCCTTATTTTTTATAACGTAGCGCAGCGCGCGAGTTTAGAAAATTGTTGGTCTGGCAGTTGCCAGTTAGATGTTGAGGGTGATGTCCTCCTGCAGGATCGAGGGTTTAAGGGGGCCGCGGTTTGAGGTCGACCTGTATGTGTGTATGTGTGCTTAGCCATGAATAACATGCAGGTCGAAGCGACTGCACTCGGTATTTGGCAAGAGGGGCGAGAGTGAGAGAGCCACACTTGTATAAGCCAAAGCAAAAGCCAAAGGGGTAAATAAAAGCACAGCGCTCTGCTGCTTGGTCCAGCTTAAGGACACCTGAGTTGGCCAGAAGGGGGTGGGCATGGGGATGGGCAAGCATCAGGTAGGACAATGGAGCCAGATATGATTAAACTCTCTGTGCTAAACTCAAGCGCAGAGATAAAACTAACTAAAAGTGGATAATTTGTTGGCTTTAATTGAGTGCCTGAACTCCCATGGACATGCAGCTGAATGGGTTTCCATTAAATAAAAGCTGAAATTATGTGCATTGTTGCGATTTAATGGGATTTTACACATTTTAGTGAAGTGGAAAGTGTATATACAAAAGGGAATATTACAAATTTAATTTATATTTTCACGAAATCCTGAAATAGGTGTCTTAAAGAGGGCCCTAATGCCTTATCATTGGCACTTCAGTAAGTAAAATAGCTCAGGAATTTCCAGGCTGTAATTATATATTTGGTAAATTGTATTAAGGTGCTTAAGCTGTAAAATGCTTTAGACAATACGTAGCTTTGCCTTTGTAGGAAGCCAATTTGCTTTAAGCTGCTTATGCATAGTGAATGCAGTCAGGTTCCTATTACACTAAGGCCAAGGTGTTAATTAAGTTTATGTGCAAGGCTTAGCTTAGTAGTTATAGTATTTGTAACTTGTTAGTTAAAGTTATCTTATTAGCTAATAATATACCCTATTTCCTGTAAAATAACATTCTCATTCTTTCGATTGTCTTCAATCTTGATCCTTCCAAAGTCTTCACTCCCCTAACAAGCTAAGACTCTACTCCTTAATACGATTTCCTTGTCCCCGGCCAATTCAATATTCCCGCCCAGTTTTATTTCAGTTTCCTGCGGTAAATTCCCCTGCTTTCACTGGCATTTGCATGCAATTGCATTCTGTGTTTCGCATTTTGCATATCGCATAGCATAAATCCGATGCCATAAAGCGTTAAATGGGCGAGTGTCGTGTTAGAAGGGAACACAGCCGTAAAACTCCGCAGTGCCGCCAAGGCGGACGATGAAAAACATTCCAAGTCACAAATTACCAACATTTACCTGCGGTGTGCGCATATTTTTAGCCCCCGGGTAAGCCCTGTTTTTTTGTCCACCTTGGGGCTTTTTCCCCGCAGGAAAACAATGCAAACAATAAGCTGTGATGCAGACGTCGACGCTGACGACCGACGACCGAGGACCGACTTGATGTTGATGTTGATGTTGATATTGCAACCCATTAACCTTTTTTGCTGCGCTGGCATTTAGCCTGAGCTTGATGCATTCCATTCCGCAACTCATTTCTGGAGTTTCTGGAGCCCTGATTGATGATTAGTGTGTGTGCAAATGTGTCGTGGCGCTGCATTTCGGTGGCAATAAATTATGCGCTAATTAATTTCTACTTGTTCGCGTGAGTTGCGGGGATCATTAAGTCCGTATTTGATTTTTAAATCACCGGATATGTGCCCTGCGTCAGAGGGTAATTAGATTTAATGTTGCCTTGTTTTTTGTTAGATTTATCAACTTGGAAATGACAGAGAAAATACTTTAAATAGAGGCTTTTGAAGATCAAAGATCAGTAAACAGTATGACGGAATAAATACTTAAAATTTGTTAAACTTAGTTTCAAGTAATATACTAATTTTCCGAGGTTTCTGTTCGCCCGGATCGTTCAGACCCGCATTTAATTATATACTTTCTGTACTTACTCTTGCCCTGATACCCTGACAAGTGCACAGGCAAATCGGATGGGGTCGAGCGAAACTGAGATGTTGAGGGTGCAAAAACTTTGCACTTGGCTTTAACAATTAGTTTGTGTCCTCCCCCTTCCAATAGCCCCACCAACCAGTCATCCAATCCCTACTCCGCACCTGCTTTTCCCTAGATTTCATTAGTAGTTGTAGTTGTTGCTAAGCAGCGCGTCACAGGCAATTACAGAGGCGGTAATGCGTATTTAATTAACAAGCTTACTTAGTAGTTTTCCATGGAAAATTTAGCTCATTGTTCGGCAGAAGGCGAACAGCCAGTGAATCCAGTGGAACCAACTGACATTTAGACTCTGAACGGTTCGGCTGCCTATTTGCCTGTCCAATTAAACGGTAAACTTTCTTATGGCCATTCAATTCCCACACCGAGTCGACGCTTCAAAGGAATTTCTGGGGACGGGCGGGAGTTACAGTCATCCTCGAAGTCGGTGCCGTGAGCAAGTGGGGATCTTTTGTCTGTTTATGGACTCCCGATGCTAATTGAATTGTCATCGATTAATGGAGCCTCGCCCAAGATTCTGGAAATGTGCAAAAGCAATAACTTCCACTGGCTAGAACAAAAGTTGAATGATTCGGCAGGAGTCGAGCTTACACAAGGAGAAATTAAGTAATTTATTTTGTTTTTGAGCAAGTATAGTCCGACTTTTGGCATTTCATTTTGTGTCAAAGTTGGGACACAAATTTGAGAATTTTTATTAAACGGAAAAGTATATTAAAAAAAGGAATTTTAAAACAAACACGAAATTACCTAAAATATTAAAAAGCAAACTTAAATTTGAGGAGTGGCAGAGATGGGTAACTTTGCTGTGAGACCGGAAACGGAAAAGGAAGTGCACGTGGGCGATGGTAACGGACTCCGTTACTGCGTTAGTTCAATGCAAGGCTGGCGTGTGGAAATGGAGGATAAACACATTGCCGTTTGTAGCCTTAGGAAACCCTACGAATCATTGTCATTTTTTGGGGTATTTGATGGTCATGCTGGTGATCATATAGCCGTCCATTGTGCCGAGAATCTGCTGACCACCATAATGAAAACTGAGCAATTTTCTAGAGCAGAGTTCAAGGACGCGTTGCGAGAGGGTTTCCTTCGGCTGGACGAAGAGATGCGTAAGATAAGTGCGAATAAGCCAGGTGGAACGACGGCCACCTGCGTGCTGGTTACGCCGCAGAAAATCTACTTGGTCAACTGCGGCGACTCCCGGGCTGTGCTCTGCCGGAAGGGAAAGGCCCGTGTCAGCACCGTGGATCATAGGCCGACTTTGCCCGAGGAGAAGCTGCGCATTAAAAAGGCCGGAGGCACTGTAATGATAGATCGAGTAAACGGCAATCTGGCCGTTTCCCGGGCATTGGGCGACTATCTGTACAAGCAGAATTTGAGGCGGCGTCCCACCGATCAAATGGTATCTCCGGAACCCGATATAATCGAGTGTGAGCGTGTGGTTTGCGATGAGTTTGTGGTGATTGCCTGCGATGGCATTTGGGACGTGATGAGCAGTAAAGAAGTCTGCGCCTATATCCACTCACGCCTCCTTGTCAACGACAACCTGCCCGAGATTGTCAATAGTATTTTGGACATTTGCCTGCACAAGGGGAGTAGGGATAACATGACACTGATGCTGCTGCTGCTGCCGGGCGCACCGAAAATCAGCGAAGCCGCCGTGAAGGCCGATCAAAGTCTCGATCATAAGATCGAACAAATTACAAGGGAAGTCATTGAGAAGAACGATATATATTTCTTTGAGCATCTTTCAAGTCTCATGGATCGAAAGGCTGCCGGTATAAAGAATCTGCCGTCGGGCGGGGGACTATATGCCAAGTATCACATCATTAAGAAAGTTTACCAAGAGTTATTTCCCAAGAGGCCTATCGAATTTGATGAAACTTATTTGTAATTATAATTGTGGCACTTCATTAAATTCTGAATATTAATAATAAATAAAGAGAAGTTAAAGCTCAAATTATTTTCCAGTGTACTCTTTCTTTCATTAGATTCTCCGGCCGCAGGGCTGTGCACTATGTAGCAGCAGCTGAGCGTTATGGCCATCCTATTGCCAACTTGTGCTTCGTCAAAAACAATGGCACAGCATGGCGTATGCTTGATTTTTTCAATTAGATACAGGCGCACGCACTACGCATACGCAATGCCTGCGGCCCGTAGAACAATCAAACTCATAAACTCAGAATCAGACTCAGTCTTGGCATCGGAATCAGAATCCGAATCAAAGTCAGAGTCAGAGTCAGAGGGAGAACCTTTCCCGACTGCCTGCTAATAATTAAAATTTGCCTGCCACAAAGGATAAGCCCCAAAGACCGAGAGAAGATGTCGGAAGCGTGCCACCGAGAGGGCAAAATGAAAAGTTATGAACTACAGCTGGGGCAGTTACGGCTCCTCTCCAGTCCAGTCCAGTCCAGTCCAGTCCACTCAACTCTACTCCACTCCACTCCACTTCAGTCCACTCCAGACCATCCGGCTCCGCAGCCATGTACAGTACGTGCCACAACACACAACACTTGACCCAAGCGGTTGCAACAGTCATAACAATGACTGCTACTCCATTGCCGCCACTGGCCCCAAACAGCAGCTGTCCATTTTAATTTTCCAGCTTGTGTAAATAATTTAAACAATTCCATGTCCAGCCCGACAGGAATGAAGAGGAGAGAGAGAGTGCCAAGCGGAAGAAGGAAGTGCTCAGTTATTATTTGTTACCTCGACTCCCTGGCAGCCTTGGCCTATTACTTGCGGTGGCAGAGTCAGCATTTGTTTAGCTTTCTTTGCTTCCTCTCTCTGCCTTTTACATTTTTTTTACTGTTTCGTCTTCTAACCAAATATTTTTGCTGGCCAAGTGAACCGGGATTGGAAGAGTACACAGGGAAAAAGGAGGGATAAAGAGTGAAGTACTTTGAATTTATAGCTTGAAACCAAATTAAAACCGTTTTAAAATGGCATGCTAAATATTTGTTCTTTACAAGTGTAAATTTAGATGTATGCTTTTAAGTTTCCTTAATTTTCTGATTTAAAGCAAACATTTCTCCTCAGTGAAGGCAATTTCTCATTGTAGAATTCGAAACAAATTCTTTGGTAGTGCCGAGTGTGGGTGCGATGGCATGAGAAAACAAATGCAAACAATAACATGTTGCCCTGTTCCTTCCGCCCCTGCATCCCTGGGCCTTCCGTTTGCTATCTGTTTCTGAGGAGTCCTTTCACCCAAACTGGATGCACTCATGTCCGTTCATTGTTGCTGCCCAGTTTGTTTGTTTACTTTGTCTGGCAGCGTGTCTGTTGCATATCAGTGACCAGCATATCGTTATTTTGCTATAATTTAAACCATTTTCGGCACTCGGATGCTGGCACAGTTTCTGTTTCGTTTTTCTAGTTAGTTTCATGTTGGCATTTTAATCAAGTTTCCAAAATCTAGATGTTCCGCAAACAATTGCTTATTAAATGGTAAAATCAAAGGGGGGTTTGTCCTAACTTCTGACTGACTGACTGGCCATTTGGCTTATGAAACTTTCGCCAAATATTTGGGGCCCCAACAGCCTTTGCAACATTTTCCTATGGTCATTTTTCTATTTGCTTCGTTAACCGCACACGAAACGCAAAAAAGTGGATTCCCTGCGAGTGAATGTTTGCGAAAACTTTGTTTGCCGCCCGTCGCTGGGCATAATGCTAAACTTTCTTGCGCTTGATTCCATTTTTTGTGCTTTTTGGACTCTTTTATTTTATTCCTTTTGTCAAATGCAGACCAAACCAATTACAAAATCCACACAGCCACGGCCGGAGAACAAACAGAACTGGGCCAACAGGACAGGGCGCCCCTGAAAGCCGAGCGAACAAAGTTTAGCTTGCAAACAATTGCAATTTATTAAGCCAAGAGCCAAGCAAAGCGCAAACAATGTCCGTGTCCATGTGGCCAGCATAATTAAAAGTAAGTTCAATGCGCTGGCCCAGACAGAATGGACGGAATCTCGGCCAGAGATGAGCGTTTGAGCTGCAGAGAAATGCCAAATATTTGCAATTTAATTTGCATTTAAATACAATTATTGCAGAGGATAATATAATATTGTGTAATAATTAGATTTAAGTCTTGGTAAAGTGTAGGGCAAACAGTTAAAATCAAATTTCTTTGGGAATTGAATGAAGGAAAACTGTGGAAAAATCTTTAATTAATCCATGAGTTTGTCAAAGATTGAGTGAAATTTCTTGGAGATTTGACATTTGGCTCTTATAAAATGGTTTTTATTAACTTTTTAAACTAGAGACTTTTCACCATCTTCAATATCGATTTGTCTACATTGCTCATACGCCCCACTGTACCAACTTATTATGCCTCACAGCACTCGCAACTTGTAATTATGTTGCAATAAGTTGGCGCTGCCTCGGAGCTGTGGCATCTTTATCCGCATCTCGCTAATGCGCTGGTTACAAATATGTGATCGGGCACTTCAATTGCCAATCCGTGGCAGAAGCAGCGGAATAAGGGTCAGACAATGGGGCCACTGATTAGTTGTGAATTTATTGCTGATTAAGATGCTTTTTAAAAGAACTCGCCGCCCACTTTGGTTCTCTGAACTTTCCGCCAACTTTTCCATGTGATTCTCCATATCTGTCGAGGTGTGAGCTGTGTGTGCGTGTTCCAACTTTCTGTTGAATTGGCAGTTTATGAAAAATTCAAGGACTCACATTAATTTCCCGGCCAAGAGCATATAATTTAAACGGAATACTAGATTTTTTGTAGTCCTAGCTATGCCGCAAGTCATCCGGAAAGTAAAAACACATTGAAAAGTCAGCATTGGCGATGAGCAAACAAATCTAAAATGCTGAGCGTGCCACAATCGATTGCTCTTCGAAGTTATTTTTCACTCTATAATCTCTTTGAGGGACTAGAATACGTTAATTCTGTTTTGCTATTTGTGAAATCCTTCAGAAAAGTGAATTTAATATGCGCTCTTTAAAGGGTTCACCGCAAAAAGCAGGTTTATTAAAGTAAACTAATTTTTACATAAAAAAAACGATTAAAAATAACAAATAGTCTGTCAGTTTATAGAGGTTTTTTTTTCCTCTTTAAACGAATGAAAGTTAATTTATTATCTAATTAAACACACATTGTGACATACCAACAAACGGATATTGTTATCCCAGCTCTGCAGGCTTTTTTCAAATTTTAATCAGTTCAACCCACTTAATTACAATAAACTTTTCCTTCTTTGGCGAACAAATATTTAGACGCTTTTATTTTGCGAATTGCTGAAAAAAGTCACGGTTCAGGAACTGTGTTTGACCATTTGTTTACAGGCTAAATAAAATCATGACAATGTTGCGTGAATCAACAAAATCAGCTGAGGGACAAATTGCCCCGAACACGCAGCCCCCAAAATCAAAGCCAGCCTCATATAGCCCATAGCCTCGGTGCATCGGCCATGTCTAAACACATATGCCAATTACTGTTTTTTGATGTCGTAAGCCTACAGGCATGGGTGCTGTTTCGGCTCCACATTGACAGGCTAAACGGGTCTGAGGGATCGTAGGTATTTATTTAAATTTATCGCATTGAGCTGTGCGTGCGGATAGGAAACCAATTGGAAAATTCCCATGCAATTTGGCGGCGTGGATTCCGTGTAATTAACAATTTAGCGATTGCAATGGCTGCCATTTCGCCATGGCATCCAATTGAGCAGGGGTGCATAACAATGAGCGAATAAAATGCATTCGCTAAATAATGCAAATTCAGTTTTGACGCACATAATTTCATTTTAATGGAAATTTTATACTTAACGCTGCTGTTTGTGCCGTTGTTTTTTTCCACTTGCCCCGAGGCGATGCAGCATATAAATAAAGGTGCCGGGGCAACGTAATTTAATTGCTTATTTTACCCATTATGGTCGGCCTTCTGTAGCCTCGCATTTATGCGGCATTCCTGCCGGAAGTTGCGCATACGCCGCGTTGGCAGGAAGGTCAAACCGAAAAAAACGCCGCCAGTTATGCGCCTTTGCGCGTATGTAAAAAAGAGAATTATAGGGATTGCAAGATGCTAGGTACATAGTTGAGCTTTCAGCCTCATCGACTGCCTGTATCACCTACGTATTGTCTGTGTCACATTTAAATATTTATTTCGTGCCAACTGGTTGTAAATTTTCGGACACCCCATAATCCTTTAGGTGAAAGCCCCGCCATATCACCGGACGTAAAGTATGGCTGATTTATACAGGAATCAGACTTGACGGGGAATAAGCATAAAAAAATCATATCCCAACTATGTGGCTGCTGAGGGGCACTGAGAAAAAAGTGATAAAACCTTTCATTATATAAATTCTTTCCGTTTAAATTACAAATTAGCTTCATAAGCTTCTTTGTTTTAAATGTTATTATTAAATTATTGAATAAATTCTGTTGATTACAATTTTTTGCTATTTTTAATACATTTAAATTCAGCTTCGCATTATTATTATTAATTGCACTCCCCTTGCAGTGCATTTGTGTGGGTCCGTTCGGTTGAGGAGGGAACGCTTAACTTATTAAATGCGCACACTCCGTTTTAATTACTCACACACATAACTGCGGGTGCACGTGTGAGTTGCTAATTGCGGGTCCACACACACATACACACATGCCAGCCGAGCACAATTTTAATGCGCACTTCCGTTTCCGCTGTAATGCCTGCGGCATAGTTTATTTTTATAGCCCGCAACACGGGGCTGCTTCGCCTCCTTTTGCGGTGCGTAATTGTTAATTTGCAACAGCGCACACACCGCAATGATGAACGACGAACCAGAGAGTCCCTCTGTAAGACTGACAAACAGACAAACTGACTGCATGACCGGCTAACTGACTGATGGATGGACGTACAGATGGATGCATTGGCATCGCAAGAAAGCATCCCTGACATTTTGATATCGCTGTGCACTGCGAATTACCCAGCATTTAAGT